ATTGCCGGGGGGGTAATTTGTGAAGAAAAGGTCAGGGGGAGCCAAGTTTCCAACCTGTCGTTGTAATAATAGTACATTCTCCTGTCACGTTGCTATGAAGCTGATTAACCCTCTGAGCGTTACGGGTTTAGCCTTGATGACTCTTTCATAAAGATTTTTGTTTTTCTAAATACTGAACGTTCTTCTAAATAACGAACTCCACTTCTTGCAGAAGCTGCTGCTGATCTCATTTCTTTATTAATTTCGATATTAAGAACACCTCCAGAAAATTTTATGTAATCAAATACTGTGCGTTGAAAAATGTATGATGAGTCACTTAAATTTTCAATTTCAATTGCTTTATTTACAGAGAAGCCCCTTTCCACAGAGGCCTGTTCATGTGACAAGATAAGAATACTTGTCACAGTGAATACTTGAATAGTGAAAATATACATTTTTTACTATATATATAATTTATTTCCTAAACAATATTGATTAATTGATTATATTATCTCCTAAGTTTAATTAAAGTAGAATTATTTTAAAAGAGTGAATCCATACTGGTAAGTTATATTTTGAAAGATGTATATATATATATATACAATACAAAGTCCGAGATCCGGACATCCAATATCTGGAATGATCTAAAATCCGGACTTCAAATCCACCACCAACCAATTTTTTAGGGCTTTTTTGAAGGGAAGGGGTATGCTTTACGCACACTTATTAGATTTTTTTCCTCATCATAAAAAAACATGTCGGAAATCCCGATTCTTAATCTCAGTTTGGCGCTAAATAAAATATCTCATTATTGAAGAAATAATTATTTTAGCATAAATTTGTGTGATTAGTAACTTGACTCCATAGCTGCGTATCTCCTTGGCATAATCTCAAACCGAAACATTTGTTACAGATTTAAGTTTAATGCGCTAAAATGTTGACAAGGGGAGATTTAGCAGAAATTTCTTTCCTTATGCTAAAAATAGATTTTGTTAATGATACTCATAGGACAAACGATTATATTTAGTGCTATTTGTGATTTGAAGAATAACTGATTTGTTATTCACATAAAGCTAGAACCAGCGCAAGAGCTCGCATGGCCGCACCAGGCGGCAGAATTTAGCAAAGTTAAACAGAAGTTTTTCATTGCGATGACAATGCCCAATCATCAATCAATTAACGGAGGGCGAAATCTGTAGTATAGTTCTAAATCCAGAAAATACAGCTACCGATAGTGAAGAAAGTAACACAGAGGTTACTAAAGAGAAAAAATTTTGATTGACAAGTTATTCGGAATTCTCGACACAGCAATTACAGGACTTGAACAATGGAACTTAATAACTGAACAAGAAATTATATGTCTATAGTATTAGTCTGAAGTATTAGCAGAGAAAACAAATTAAACAACTCACATTGAAAGAAATGTTTAATAAAGTAAACATATAAATATTAAGCTCTTTTCTTTTGTAAATTTTGATAACCTTTAAATCATAAATGCTTCATTATTTCATAAATCACGATTTCATATTTTCAATTTTATAATTTCTACGTGCCATCTTAGTAGATTTAAAATGATCTAAGTTCCGGAAAAATCTCAAATCTGGGATCGCCGAAGTCCAGACATCGGACTTTGTACTGTGTAAATATATATAAATATATATATATAATACGGAATGTATATTTTCCGTTAAACTTCTACCTAATAACTTTAGTAATTCATGAAAGTTAATTAAATATTAAAAATTTTTTAATTAGTTAGTTATTTTCAACTAATAATTGTATCGCCATTAGCAAAAATTATGCATTACTATCAACAACATAGGTTTAAACCAAATACTTAATTGTCTATTGAAGCTTAAAAACGTATTTCCGAACTTCACTTTTTATAGGCTAGCATTACCGAATTTGCCCTTGGCGACCTAAAATCGAAATGGAGTCAACAGATTTCCCGCGAAATTGATAACAGACCCTCTGCAGAAATAAACTCATAATCCCGATATCCCATACATATTACTATATGTGCAAAAGAGAATAAACTCCGTAGAAGGTGATAAAAAATTAACTTATGGCTTAATTGAAACAAACACAGAAATTAAGCTAAGCAAAACCGTGTAAAAACAAATTGAAATGATAAAACGAAACTTAATTTTCATGGGAATTTTCAGCGCTGACTCTCCCATTCTAGAAATTTTGTTTCAGACAAAGACCACATTTAAGAATTGCCATCCATCAATATCCAGTCTTTGTAGTCAGCTTGATGAAGCCACAGTTTATCGAAAATGCACTTTCCAGGCGTTCGTGGGCGTAAGGGTTGTAGGCTTGGGATTGCTCTAATTTTGGCAAATATTTTCAGAATCCCCCCCCCTTTTTTTTTTTTTTTTTTTTTTCGAGCACCTTCATCATCACTTTCGCCTCTTAAAGAACTTCCGGCTTCACGCTTTCGTCACAATCTGCCTAAATTTATGGATAACACCTGTTTCGAAAGATTGGGTGAATAGCCAATCAGACACCGATACTTTCGTTCGGGTAGGCTAGGTAATTTTTTTTTTTATCGTTTGCAACGCAAATCCGCCAACAGATTGGTTAAGAGCCGTGTAATTTTAATTTCCATATTCATGAGAAATCGCAATTCACACTTAGAATGGCAATCATTAGAAATGATAAGAAATGTCAAATGAGCAAAATTAAGGACCTTTTATACATTTTGGCCAAAATTAAGGACTTTTAAGGACCAAAAATCATTTTTGAAAAAATTAAGGACTTTTAAGGACCGTACGAACCCTGGTTTCTAGTTGAGTGCATCGAAGAGTCTCTTAGTGCATCATTGAGGGAGTGTGTTAAGCTCCGAGAACGACTGAACCGAAGAGTCAGGAGCTGTGCTCTGTCGTCGAGTGCATCACTAGTTGTAGCGTGGAGAGTCTTGAGAGTACGTGGAGTTCCGAGAACATCTAAGCAGAGTCGGGAGGTGTACTCTGGTGCTTTGCAGTGAATCTGTCTCCACCATAATAGCTTGATAACGTGAAGGCTATGTCGCTGATCGTGTCAGCGTGTTTACAACAGTTTGACAACTGTGAACGAGATTTTGGAGTTGTCCTGATTAATACCGGCCATTAAAGTGTGTTTCGATACTTCATCATAACGTAACAACTGGTGTCAGAAAAGAAAAATGCAAGAATATTTAGTTCCACCTTCAGATGGAATTGGGAGCAGGCAACAAATGTCAAAATAAGCGAACTACAATGGTTTATTGGATCTCTTACAGAACAGTTTTAAAATTTATTCTATTAGATTTAGCAATAATACACAGTTTGCACATCTCCATTGGTTTTTCCATTTCTGGTAAACCTTTCATGTTTTGATTTTTTTACTAGTATTCTATATATAATCGAAATCTACATGGCAAAATCTTTGATACCATAGCTTCCCATTGTCTGCTTTATTTAACTTTCCAGTTTCGTACCATAACCAGCTTCCTTTTTATCTGTTGCATACTTAAGTGGTTTTACAAGATAGAGTCCGTCATATTGTCTTGTATAACATAATCTATTGTAGTTATTAAAATGTATCCATATCTTCCTGTTTGAACCTACAAGATGGGCACCTGCCTTTTCTAATCTTGCTGTCGATAGTAAATTTCTTCTTAGATTTGGATTGTACAACACATTTTCTAATTCAATTTTTCAATTTATTCAGTTGCCTACTTTTATTCAGTTACTATGTTTACTTTACATCGGAGAGTCTCTGACGTAATTTTTCTTTAATGACGTGTGGACATCCAGCACCTTGGTGTTTATTGCTGCTTTACATTTGTAATAATTTTTTTTTTCAATATAAGTTCATCATTCTTTTTATAAAAAATTACTAAGTTATGCCTAGCTGGCTGCATTTATTTAAGCATTTTATTGAAGAACTCCAAAAATACTGTGTATTGAAATATTCATTCATTGAAGTCAGCCTTCTCGATTGTAACTTTTTGAGATAATTTTTTCCTTGATTTACTTCATGAAATAATTTGAATTTTACAAAAATTACTATTTTAAGATGTGAAATTTTTTACTGTTTGAGAGGTTTGACTTTTATTGTTCTTTTCATTAAATTTCTCTGACTTTTTCATAAAGTTTATATATTCACTGACTTTCTAGGTAAATTGGAACTTTGATATACTGCATTCTATGGAACCTTAGAGATTAAGGTCATTGAAAAATATCTCCTTTTCCAGCCATTTTCTGTTCATGTTTTATTTATTCATTTATTTTTCCCATTCATATAAGCAGACTTTATTTCTTTCAGCAAAAGTTTTTTTGGACAGGCTCAATTAAAGCACACATCGTTGTGTCAACTTGTGATAATGGAAATAATTCTTTTATATGAGTGTATTTTCTCAGATTGCTCTTAAGTCAGTGTATGTGGTAAACTTGTTTCTAAGTGAAATATTTGCAAAATTGACTGTGCTATAATATTGGTGTCTTCTTTATCTGCCTTTCATTCATTCAATATTGCCCCTCATTACTTAAATAGTTTTCAGCTTTTGAAGTCCCACCATCTGTGTAGTATAGTTCCTTACATAGCATAGCACATATACATACCATTGTAAAAAAAAGTGAATTTTAAAATATACAACTATTCACAGTTCCAACATCTGTTTCTGGCTTTTGAATTGATTTCCTTTTTCAGTGGTTTAAGTATTTTGGACAATGGCAACATTTTTGTCATGTTATGTGAGGCAGTTCTGTTAATTTGATTTTCTAAATTTTGCCAAACAAGTTGATACAATAATTTGATCAGTTATTGTATTTACATATGCATGTCAAACAAACTACTGACCTAAACACATATTTTTTCAAGAAAATAATCTTTTAATGAAAAAATTTTTTCCTAAAACATTCATTTAAATTATTTTTTTAATGAATGTACAAAAAAAAACCCCTTTTTTTAACTACAAAGCTATTTACATATAAACGCAACAAAGTTTTATAATTATTCTAAAATATGACATATATGTTCCCTTTTGTTTTTTGAAGAATTGCTCGAGGAAAAACGGGAACTTTTATTCAAGATTGTGAAGACGATGGCGAAACAAAAGCAGGCTCTGTTCTTTTACATTTGCTTCAAGTAAGTTATAATGTCAATAAACCAAAATTACATTAAGCTGAAATGAGGGGGGGGAATTCTCTAGTTTTCTACAAATCATTGTAACGTAAAATGACTAATGTCAGTGATAGATAGTTTTAAACTCTGGTAACCCTATATGAAGTTAAAATATTTGTTCAATTTATTTTTTGTCTTGTATATGATCTGTGATATCTGAGCTAGTGAAAGAAATTATAAAGTACTATATTTGGTGATTTATTGCTTGCATGTATGTTTTTTGTGAGATTAGTGGTAATTTAAAAGTTTGAAGGATAACTTAAAAGAATCCATACACAAGCTGACCACCATAAAGTTCCTAAAATTTTTGGCTTATACACACACGGAAATATATGGTACTTGAATTCATATTATTTATTTCAAGTAATAAAAATAACTGTGATTTTAATATTTCTTACCATCAGGAGATAAATAAAGAAAATTTTAAATGCTTGGCATTTCCCCGTGCCTGCATTTCTGAAATCTGTGGGGCTCACTAGCATGCTAGCAGTAAAATCGTTGAACAATAGTAGCTCAGTCCAGGGTTTGAATCGTGGCGAACGAGCTTGCATGGGCATTTTTGTGGTTTTTACCATGTGTAATGAGTATATGAGCAAATTTTCCTTGGAAAACTATCTAATACGAGTCCAGAAGTAGTCTGGACAGTGATTCTGTAAGTGTTTTGAACTGGAGAATAGAAGGTACATGCATCTCACGTTCCCTTGCCAGAGAAATCCAGTTTCTGTGACCGCAGTTTAATGCTTTGAGGAATTATGACAAATGAACTGCATATCTTTCAAGATGTTAACTGCTCGGTAATACGTGGATGAGGTATTTGAACCCCAAGTTACACTGTTTAGAGGTGCTATTGGCCCAGAGTTTTTGCTAATGGATGACAATGCTCGGCCTCATTGAGCATAGGTGGTGTCAGCAAGACTTGATCAACATTACCATCAAGTCTTGTGGAATTGTGTGTTTAGTCTATGAAATCAAGATGTGAGGTATGGATATCTGTCTGGAGTGTTAAAGAAAAAAAATTTCCACAAAAGGTGACTTCATTTTTCCATCATTTCTCAAATACCATAAATTTGGTTTTAATTTCAATATTTTGTAAATAATCAACTACTGAATGTTGTAATTTATATAAACTAATGCTTTTGTACAAATTTCTGTTAATAATTTTTCATTAAATATCAGCTAAGTTTTATTTCTGTCATTATCCTTTAACTTTGATGACCAGTATTTTTGAATAATTGAAAAAATCTGACGGATATCATTTTGATGTTCATCATCATTCCGAGATACAAAATACCTTTATATTTCATCCATCATTACACAGTGTCTTTTGGAAACAAACCTTGAAGGTATGTTTCCATAATTTTATTGTTTTTCAAAACTGAACAAACTGCAAACTTGTTTATGCCATATGTATGACCGACAGAAGCAAAAGATTTACCACTTTTAGAATCTAGTTATTTTCATCTTTGTCTTGGTCTTTTATGAGTACTTTTTTTTTTTTTTTTTTTTTTTGGTTCATATCAACCTTTGTTTTTCATTCACCTCCATAAATTTATAAGGAGAAATTATTTAAATATAAACAAATAAACTGGCAAAATACACAATACATACCTAATGCAAGTTATGTATTTCATGTTTAGCACTCATGGCTCGGAATCTTAGCGACATCACAACAATTCCGAGAAGCAGCTATTCTAGGAGGCTAATGTGCTTTGTGGAAGTAAGTTCATGTAAGCAAACAATTTTTGTAGTATGGCAAAAATCTTTAAAATATGAATTTTTTTTAAATGTATGAAATAGCACATTGTGCAGATGTCAAGGCCGCTACAGTTCCACTGCCATTAATAAAATCAGCTTCTAGAGGTCTTTTCTTTAGCCATAAGTGTAATTTGATGAGGAATTTTGTTGAACTGAGGATATAGTCTTTACAAACCATAATTGTAATTTTTTTATGATAAGCGGGAAGACTTTCATTTGCGTTACATTTCCAGGTCATTCTACAATACTTTCCACAATCTTCTCAGGTCTCTTTCATTGTTGGTGGACTATGCATCTTCCTTAAATTTTAAGCTGAGGATGTCGTACTTCATTCACTAAATTATTCAGTCCAGTTGAATTGCTGAACTGATTTGCCATTTTCTAAGAAAAATGTAGAAATAGCCAGTTTTATCACTGAAACAGCAAAATAAATGGTTCCTAAATCATTTCAGAAATGTGACATTTGCTTATTCTGTTATGCAACTTAACCACAAATTCAGCATTAAAAAAAATGAAAATGACAAACACATTTATATTTTATTATACATTTTAATGGCATTATTTTAGACCTGAAGGTTAAATGACTGTGTTAGTGACATGTTTCCAGACTAGTTTTAAAAATTGGGCTGAGTGTTAAATTTAATAATTTCACAAATGACTATTTATATAAATAGGACACAAATGAAAAAATTTTAATGAAATGTGGTTTCTTCTACTGACTATTATAAAGACTCTCATTTTTAGTCTCTCATCAAATTTTGACTGTTTTATCTGTAGGTTGGCCGATTTTATATACACAGGCAGTCATGCTTTTATTGCTAAGTGCATTGAGTTAATAAATTTTTATAGTGTGAGAAATGTAAATTTTAATTATTTTCCTTTTACGAGTAAAATGCTTATTTTTTAATTGCTAAGTGAAATACCCTTTTTTCCCCCTTTAATCCATTTCAGATATTGGATGTGCAAGATGTTTTGGTGGTGGTTTCTCGATGGTATGGTGGAATACATTTAGGTCCTGACAGATTTAAACATATCAGTAATGCAGCAAGAATTTTACTAAGCAATTTGAAACTAATAAAAGAGGTAATTTAGTAATACATTATTTGACTGTTATCTTAAGAAAATTGATATACATGGTTTTAATTAAAATCTTGTCGAAAATCTTCCATTTTAAGTTAGATTTTAATTTGTGAACTTTTTTTTTTAACAGAAGCCAGAAAGTGGAACAAGCAGAACACAAAAAACGTGATATGAAACGTGAACTTATTAGAAATTCTTAATAAGTGACCTTAGAATTTTTAAAAAGCGTTAATTATTTACTATTTTGTAATGTATAAATATTTTATTCGGAGGGGAAAAAACCTTTTTATACATTTTAATGAATGAACCATTTATTGGTTTTTATGTTAAGTTTAATAAAATGTTGAATGATTCTTGTGTATTTATTTAAATGATTGATTGTATAAAGAACTTTTTATAACACATTTAATACTAATTTTATTAACAATTTTTTCCTTTCAACAGTTTTACTGAAAATTCACTCTAAACAGATATTTACAAAGTGAGTTTTCTTTTACTTTGAATTTCCAGAAAAAGGAAAAAGAATTCAAGACTTATCAAATTTACTTTGTAATTTTATTAATGGCAAAATCTAACATATACTAAGTGTTTCATGGTTTAGAATTTGTTACATAACTGATAGTTGTAATTTCAAAAACATTACATAATTGACTGAAAAAAAAACTACTTGAATATGCACCAAATTATATGGTGACTAGCAGAAATGTGTATCCTCACATTTCCCTTAGGTACATTAAATTATCTTATACCATGTTCCCTGGTCATAAAATTAAAAAAAATTTCAGGCACAGGTTGTAGGCATTAAAATGCACATAATTTTGAGTGATCACCTGTAAAAAGTGTGTTTCAAAATATTCTAACACAGAAGATAAATAATTAGTAATCATCATCTGTGAATTTCGTGAATTCTAGCAAGCTCGATCCACTTAGGCACCATTAAGATAGTCTGTCACTCGAAGTGATTACTGTATTGGCAGGAATCCTGTGCAGATCTGCCTTGGATGCCAGTCAAGGTTGAAGATTGCTACAAAGTCCTATTAGGATTGCATTGTCAGTTACTCCAAAGCTAAACTCCCAAAGCCTTTGGTAATGTGCTACCACAGAATCCTTCAAAGTGGAACCTAATAAAAATTCATTATATATGTAATTATCATAAAAGTGATGAAATCACAAATGTACTAAGAATCAATTAATGCAATTGTAAGACTTGTATATAAATACAAAACCGCAGACTGTAATCAGCAAGAGATTTTTTTAGATGGATAGGTTTATCTGAATTTGATGTCAAACATAACCGCTTGAAGAATAAAGGGAAAAATCTTCATTTTATGTTTACGAAATATAACTATGTAAACAGGGGATATATTATGCGGGATTAATAATGCAAAATATTGACTTACCCAAAATTTTCTGTTCCTGGTGTGGACTCAATGTTAAATTCTGCGACTGGTACACCACGATCAGCTACTCCAGGAGCAAACATTGCAGCTGGATAAACAACTGAAGATGTGCCAATCTACAGTTCAAATAAAATATGCAAAGAAGTCACAAGAGTTTCAATCATTTAAAAATAGTCTTATGTCTGTGAAGTTTTAATAGATGTACTTTTGATATTAAACACAGTTAAATGATTTTTAACCATAAACATGGTTGTTACATTACAGCTGAAACAAACTGAAGTCCATTGTTTTTAATGGTGCTGTGAAAAAATTAACAAGTATAGAAACATTTAAAAACAAAGCATGCATCTCTTAGTTAAGATGACTAGAAATCTATAATAAACATCCATCTATAAAAATACAGTAATTATTTTTTAAAAAGATTATACAGGCATTGTGTACGGATGGTCAAGAAACATACTGTATAGATGATACCTAATGAGAGTCTACCATATGTATCTACTAATGGTAGAGTCAAACATGCTGGGAGTATCAATTCAGATTTTAAGACAAAAAGAAATATTGCTAAGTTTTCTCACATGTAAACATACCTTCTTTTTTTTTTATTTATTTATTTATTGGAAAATTTTCTGACCTTTTTTGTGCTTTTCGGTTGCCTGTATGCCATGTAGCATTTAATAAGCAAGACACTACAGCAAAATCCTACCAAAAGATAAAATTTCAGCAAAACAGACTATACTTTTTCTGCAAATGGAGTTTTCCGACCCAAGCACAGAGGTTCAATACAGTAATTTAGTCCTCTAAGTGCAAGTTCATAAACAATATTTTGCTCTATAAGCCACATAATTTCAGTAGCAATATTTATTAAATTAAAAACAAATTCAAATAAATATATTCAATTCTGGAATGAAATAATGGCACAAAAAATTAACTAGAAAATGCTATTCAAATATACTGAGACAAACCAATACTGTTCTAAAGTTTTTTTACCTTTAATAACCACAAAATATTCTCTTCACAGTTTGTACATGTTAGGGTTAGATTTTTATTTGTGTGAAATTTACTTCTATTTTTAGAATTATTAATGCATTATTCATAGTTTTTTTTTTTTTTTTTTACTTTATTCGAAATTTTGTGTTCACTAATACAGTACAAAGTCTGAAATCCACACTTGACGGGACTTTGGCCATTCCTAATTCGAGATTTTTCCAGATATTAGATCATCAGTTTAAATCTAGTAAGATAGCATACAGAAATTATAAAATTAAAAATATGAAATGTGATTTATAATTTTAAAGGTACCAAAATTTACAACAAAAAAAAAAGGTTAATATTTATTTGTTCACTTTATTAAACATTCCTTTCAATGTAAGTTGTTTTAAGTTGCTTCAGTTTTTGTGCTAATATTTTCTCTTTAATTCTATAGACAGCCACAATTTCTTGTTCAGTTACAAAGATCTATTGTTGAAGTCCTGTAACTTCTGTGTTGAGATTTCCAAATCAAAATTTTTCGTTTTCAGTAACCTCACTGTCGCTTTCTCCACTATCGGCAGCGGTATTTTTTGGATCTAGAACCATACTACAGATTTCACGGTCCGATGATTGGGGCGTTGTCATTGCAATGAAAAACATCTGGCATATCATCGTCATTTATTACTGCTTCTCCATATTTCTTTACAAAATCCATTAATTGGAAAATTTCACCTTTGGTTTGCGATATCTGAAAACCTTCACATTCGCAGCTATCATCTTCATCATGAAATGCTGGACATAAATTATGCCAAGCATTTTTTAAAGTACCTGGAGACACATCCTTAAAAGATCTTGTGATGCTCCACATAGCAGATTTATGCTATTTTTTAAATTCTTGAACATGGATTTTAAAAATGCTACTTTATATTTGCATTTTAGCTTGCACACTATTCCAATATCCACAGGTTGAACAATTTGTAGAAAAGAATACAGGTACATTATCTTTCACTAAAACCTTTTTTTTTTTAGTAAAATAACACTAAAACTTTAAGCAAAGTACGAGCCGAAGTCTACAATCGAGTTGTCTACAATCAGGACAAATTTTTGCGTCATCACGTAAACCAACCAAATTTCAATGTTGCCGAGCCTTGGTTATGAAATGATTTTCAAACGAATCATTCATTAATGCTTGTACCATCCATGCTCTTTTATTTGTATGACTGGAGAAAATCTTTACTCCTTTAAATGCTTGAGGTCATGTATTTTTTCCAATTACAAAATGTTTACACTGTGCATTCCTGTAGCATTAGTGCACGCTAAAATTGTTAGTCTCAATTTGGAATCTTTGGCACCAGTTTGAACCTTTTCTATAGAGGTATTATGTGGTACATGTACAAGAAGAGACCAGTTTCATCAGCATTGTAAATTTGTTCTCTTTTAATGAGTTCAATGAATTCATCTGCAAATAGTTCAGTATCAGCTGAATATTTCTCACCTAAAATTTTTAATTGCCTTATAGCATGGTGATTTTTAAATTTGGTTAACCAACCTGTCAAATATGTGCACTCATTTTTTAAGTTCATTTCTTCATGAAATATTTTGGCTTGAGCCATTAGCATTGGACGTGTCAATGGCACACTCTCGCTGCAACTCTTTCTGACCCATTCCATCATCACTACTAGCATAACGAATAATTTTTATGTTCTTCATTGCGAGTGGGGTATCGGAATCCACAAAAGATTCAAAATTTTCCTTTTTCTGTTTTCTTATGTCATGTACAGTTGACTTTCCAATGCCATACTCCTCGTATAATTTTGAAACTTTTATCCATTTTTTTGCAGCATTTCCACTTTTTGTTTAATACGCATTGAAACATACTTTCGTTTTGTAGATCCTGTTGCAGTTCCAAAATTCGAAACTCTTTTCGACATTATCGAAAGTTGAAACTTTAATTTTCATAAAATTGCTGTAATAATAACAGCCTGCAAAAAAATAATAAGCTTGATCAAATCAGAAAGTTAAGGAACAGTGCAATCTGCTATATTAACTGAAATTCTTTGGATTCAGAAAAGTATAATTTTAGCCTAGCTTAATAGCATCTGCTATACATTACTGGTTATGTATCATAGATTGATGATGAAAGATAAGTTGTTCTGTTAATTTTTCCTTGCTTGTATCACACACAGAGATAATTAAGCCTGAATTGAATTAATTTAGTTATTTATTATACTTACATCTATTTCTTGAACATGCCTAAGGCTTATCTTAGTCCTGAATAAATAAATTCTCACATATACTTAAGACTTACTGAGGCCGGCGCTAGATATCTTAATACAATCTTTGTAGGTTTCAAATTCCGTTACTACGTGCTAAGCAGGACTTAGAACAGAAGGGCTAGCTCATAGAGCTTTTTCCCCTGAAGCAGAAAGTGAGAAGTGATGACGTAGTCATGATGACACTGAGCACGGAGATGCAATCCACAGTTTGGAAATTAGCGTTTTTGAACCAGCGTTTAAAATAAGCTGTGTGTGAAAGATAGCTATAATTTGGAAGAGACAATGTTACTGCCTTATGCATTTTAGACTGAACCATTAAAAAATTTAATAATACTTACTCAATTTTAAAATAATATATAAAATGTGCTACTCTTTTAACATAAAGTTCCTTTTTTTTTTTTTTTTTTTTTAAATGCACATTTATTTCTAATCATTTCTTTATCTGCAGGCTAACTGAGATAATTTTTATACTGCTTCTAAGATAACTATAATAGCAGCTATTTAAATTTACTCAAAAAACGACTTTACGTTGAACATAGTTTTAAATATATATGACATATATGGCAACATTTCTGCTAACCTACGTTTGATTTTTGCCTAAATGTAAATTTTACATTATTATAATTCTCTTCCGATTCAATATAATAATAGATATTTGTTAAATAATTTTGTAATTTATACTTGTATCTATATTACAATTAAATAAATGTATATAATATGTTAACCTTAATTTTGACAAATAGCTTTACTCACAGTACCTAAACAGTTATTTAATTTTCGAAAAGTGTGGTAAAGGAGGTAGGTCTTTTTATGCCAATTACTTTGATGTGTTATACTATTATATTTTATCTAGATAATCTAGCACAAAATCTAATCAATAATTAGTTACAAAGGATACAATAGAATAACTTTAACAAGTACTTAACAAAATTAGTTTGTTAATACTTGTTATTCTTGTTGGTACATTTTGGTACTAGTCATAATACCAAATATTATCGATTAACTCATAGAAGCAGATGCTTTTTGAATTTTCTGTAAGGTGGCGTATACCTTTTGCGTACTTTTTGAAAATAATGTTTTCTCTCTCTGGTGCGACTTTTTGTCTCTCGTTTCCCTTGATCATCAAATTTCGGTTTTAGTTTGTGACACAATTTGATTTCTTCTCAATCTCTATTTAAAACCTCTTTAATAATATCAAAATCTAAAACAGTTCCATCTTCTAAAACAAATACCTTTATCTAAAACGTGGTTTCTCTATACTTTGAGGCAGAGCGCGAAAGGAGACCTTTGATTAAAACAAACTGCACATTTTGAAAAGAACGGAGAACTTGGCCCACTCTAGAGTCATAGCAAAGTTTTCAATCTATATACATTTCGTCGAAACTGAGAACGCAGTTTAATTTTTCTACAGAATTCAAATATTCGCCTCTTTTCCTTCTTTAGAGTAAGAACATCACTTTGAATTCTTGGACTACGCTAAAATTTAGCGCACCATTTCTTTAATTTGCTAACACTAGGTAAAGATAATTCCAATTTTTTCTTATTTTTTTTCTTTTCCAAAAATCATAGCTTTAAGATGACAGAGGTCTTATGACAATGCAACGTGAAATATCTTCACTAGTCCACCTGAATTTTTCCTTCTTTTTCAGTAATGCATTAATCTGCATCTTTATAAAAATAGGCTTTAGACATTTTTCCGAAATTCTCTCATTTTCTAGTTAATTGTTTACATTTTCAAAAATTTTGTGTCATTTTATTATTCAAGAATTTAATATGATATTTGAATTTACTCTGATTATGTTTTGAGGGGGAATGCATCTTGAGGAATGTCGTCAGATATGAGATGGCTTATTATCCTATTAGTGGCTATCTACTCCAATGAATACTTCTCGGTATGTCTACTTATTGAAAAAAATCTCAGTATTTAAAGCTTATCCTTTTAATATTTTATTGATTTACTTTTAAATCTTTCCTACTACTGATTATGAAATCATGAAATAAAGTTAGAATGCAGATTTCAAAAGTGAGCCCTTAAAACCTCAAACATTTAATCTACAAAGCATTAAATTAAATCAAAACAATACATCACATTATATTGCAATTTTATGATGTGTTGAAATTACATTTTCTTACCATATTTTAATGTAGAATTAATAATTTTAACTTAAAAATCCTCAATATTTAAAGTATAAAAATTCCAAGTTATTAATACTCACAACTAAACACAGATCACACTGGTCTAACTCATGTTGGGCAGCCATTAAAACATCTGGATCAAGAGATTCTCCAAACCAAACAACATGGGGTCTAAGTAAACCTGCACATTTGCCGCATCTATAAACATACGAGATATTTTTAAAATCTTAAAACAAAAAACAGAGTTTGTATGAATTTATCATCAACACAGCTTTCAACACTTTCCAAGAATAGAAAAACTATAGAGCTGTACACTTATAAATTCCATATTTTATTGATTACTAAATAAAATATAATAATTACTTTTCTAATATACACCTAATGTTACACAGGGTTTGAGGATGAAATATTTCTGGGTGTATTTTGAAGAAGTTTTGGGGTTATATTCAGTTTCATTCTGTTAGCCATATCTCAGAGACCTTACTTAAAAATTCGTCCAAAATCACTGGACATTCCACCTTTCTGTCTAACTGGAAGACATTTTCCAAAAATTTACGTTGACGGAAAAGGTAATAAAGGTAGGAGATGATGCATTGTGTGCGCTAAAACCACGGTAAAGCGAAATCAAACAACGCATTTTGAGTGCAAAATATGCAACGTAGGACTGTGTGCTGATCTTTGTTTTGAATTATTTCACACACAGCAGAATTTTTAAATTGGAATTTAATTACTTACAGGTAAAGTCTTGCTTAGTTTTTTTTTTTTTTTTTTTTTTTTTTTTTTTTTTTTTTTTTTTTTTTAATTTAATTTTGTATTTGTAATTTTGTTTTCATGTTTATAATATTTATTTGTATGTATATAATTACGATTTTAGTATTTTGCCTGTTTTAATTTATTTCTATTAATGTGATATTCTTTATATTAATACACATTAAAAACAAGTACATTAAATATGCAACTTCGAAAATTGAAGTCATAATATCAAAATGCTGATTTTATATGTTTTTTTTGTTTTTTTTTTTTTTAATTGGCTTAACTGCTGAAAATGCACGGGCCGGTGGTGACGGTCCATTTCAGCGGGTCCAGTCCCGTAACTGCGCTTTGTTCTTCGTGCTGGTCCTTAAGGGGTTAAATCCAGACCTTTTTTTAAATAATCCACAGGATAATTTGGAGTTTTATCACACGGAAGAAGACGCTTACAGTATTTACAATCCATTTGCTTACATCAGAATATTTAATCATTCCTTTCTCGCTGATAAAACATCTCTATCAATAATCTATAAATCAAAAAAAAAAAAAAAACCAGAATAAGTATTTTAAAAAAAGGCTTCACCACCTCTAATAGGCAGCCACATGAAACTGCAACATCCTTCCCCAATACTCTTACTTCATCAAAGAACTGTATAAACATATCATTAATTTAAACTTAACTCTGAAGTTAACTTAAAGACTAAACATTTTTAATTTTTTGAAAGTTTAAATGTTCATAGAATCATTATTCATAATTTAAATTCACTGCTTAGAGATAAAGTCACCTCTAAGGGGTATAATAATTGCATAAAACAACGGAGATGATTTCTATTAGTTAAATGGATAGTGCAAGCTCTTACATTCCATCTCATCCTAGATGACACCCCTGTTCATCTCCAATCTTCCATAATGATTTTGGCAGTTTTTCATCATACATTAAAAGTACAAGTCTTTTCAAAAGATCTGTAGTCCATTACCTCCTTGAACCTGCCTTACTTTTCTAATTTCAAGTAAATATTCTTTTTTCTGTCTTTCCAAAAACCTTCTAATAAACTTATCTGATAATTTTCTTGCTGTATATATTATATTTGGTTAAATCTAGTTCAAGATTTTTGTCAGATGCAAAGATGTCAATCTTCGTCCAGTTGCATTAGAAAATGACCTGGTGTCAGCAGTTCTGGTTCTCCAACATCACTATAAACATAAATCAGTGGTCATAAATTTAACAGTGTCTCAAATTCAACTAAAACTGTTTCAGGCTCTTTAAATGAGGCTTTCAAGACTATTTTTCAAACTTGACACGATAGATTTAACTAGCCTTTCCCAGAAACATAGCCACACAGCCTTCTCCACGTTGAACTCCCACTCAGGACTTATATAATGAAAATAATTTTGAACTTTTGTGTCCTTGATGGACTGTGTGTTTCAGTTCGTAAAGGAGCAATTTCTTGACTTAGTGGCTTAACTCTAAATCTGCAGCAAATCACACTTATTAAAATATTAGTCTTTACCCATAGTTGGCTTTTTAGTGCCTAAAGTTTTTCTCTAACTTTAGTTAAGGGTTTAGCCACATCAGGAATGTACTGATGTTTCATGATTACCTTTAATAATACAGTGAACAGTGGAACTTTGCAAATGAACAAGAAATTATGTCTGTTTATAGAAGGAAGAATTAAAGAGAAAGTATTAGCGCAAAAAACGAAGCAACTTGAACTTACATTGAAAGAAATGTTTAATAAACAAATATAAAGCTTTTTTTTTTTTTTTAATTTTGATACCCTTTAGATCATAATTGCTCATTTCATAAATTACGGTTTCATATTTTTAATCGTATAATTTCTGTATGCCATTTTACCAAATTTAAATTGATGATCTATAATCCGGAATCGCTGAAGCCCCGACGAGTCTGGATTACGGGCTCAGGTTATGTGGTTGGGTGTGTTTGGTTCTACCTCAAGCCAGCATTTTGAAGTCTTCCGCCTACTCTGAGTATTCTACTTGAATCAACAATTGGGTTTAATGCAAATGCTTTCGAACTGTCTATGCTTTTCTTCAGCTTTACTTTTCTTATTTCCTCTCTAAATTCTTCTTGGACCTTCTTGACTCAAAGTCTTTGTTTCAGTCATCTCTTCAGCCTCAGAATTTGTTATATTATCAGCTTCATTAAGAATTCTTAGAGATCTCAGCAAAAAGATGTCAGATTTGACAAGCCAAGGTGGGCCATACCACGTAGTTTTAAAAAAAGAATTCTACTTTCTGTCCTTTTATCAATAAATCTGAAGTATTCTCACGGCTGAGACAATTCCACCAACATGGATCAGTTTTCTTTTGGATTTCTAGACATTTATTTTGTACATTTTTTTTTTTTTTTTTTTTTTTTTTTACATTTCCTTGAATCATATTTGGCCAAACGTAGAATTATTTCTGAATCTGTCTACAGTTCTATCTCCATTTCCAAGTTCTTCAATACATGTCGGATAAATATGACAAGTCAAGCTCCTATATTGATCCCAAAAGCTCCAATCGAGGCATAACCATCTTTACATGGCCTACTCACCTTGAACATGACAAATGATGTTTTTACTAGCTCAGTTTCATTGTATTTCAAACATGCCACTGTGCCATATCCCTACTGGCTACTATCCATAAAACAATGGAATTGAATATTTGATAGATTGTTGAAGCAATGCCCTGGATTTTCAAGATTTTTCAATTTAGCAATCTCATTACAAGTCTTTAAATTGTTTTTCTAGTTCTTGATCAAGTAGTGCATCTACAGGTATTCCTTTTGCCAACATTCTTGCTACAACAAAGGGAGATATGAATCCAATAGAATTATGTATTTCATCAGCAACATCAAGAATCTTCCATTTTTTCATTTCCTCACCTGAATCTTTGACTTACTGATCTTGGATATGAACTTCCAGTTTGTCTGTTTGATAATTCCAGATATATCGTAACTGTACTTTCAGTTACATTTCAAACCACGTGTAACTGGAAATTATTGCTGTTGCACTTTCTTATATTAGAACTATTGAGCATCATAATCTTTTTCATATCTTTATAAATTTCTGAAGCTTCTTCATCATCAGTACCGTGAATCAAATCATCCACATAAATTGTTATTTCAGCTCTCTTGCATGGTACTTTATACTTGCTGCTAGAAGAAAGGGACTGCAATATTACCCATGGCAAAATCAATATTACCCATGGCAAAATTGCTCAATATTACCTATGGCAAAATTGCTCAATATTACCCATGGCAAAATCTTTGGATGCTTCTTTTCCTTTGCAATCCAAAGAAATCTTACAACATTTCTATCCTCAGGCTTCAACAGAATTTATGAAAAAGCAGCTTCGATATCTAAAAATGCTATTCTGTGTTGACAAAAATTAGAATTCAGGATTTGGTCCTGAATGTAAACAATTGTTTAGAGAAAGACTATCATTAATATGAGAGGAAACAGTGAATATGACCCTTAATTTTGTAAAATTATGATCTCTGATTACACATTGGAATGGCAAAAACACTGTTGCCAATTTTCACAGCACTATTGAAACAGATGAAGTGGAATCATTTTCAGAACTCTTTGGAATGTCAAAATAGTAGTTTTTAAAATTAACATTCAATACGGAAGCAGGGAAGAAAAATTTACATGCATGTGTATCAGGAGAAGAGAAGGAACTAGTGAAATAATTCAATAACAAAGAGCACTGCATGAGAAGGGACACTATTATTTGGTAGCATTTCAAATTCTTCACCACATGCAAGCAGAGAATCTTATGACAGTAATGATTATCGACAGGATCCTGACATTTGAAAATGTAAATCCGCACTGATCTAAATTATCCTTTAATTCAGGATTTAGAGAGGAAATAAGAAAAGTAAAGCTGAAGAAAAGCATAGACAGTTCGAAAGCATTTGCATTAAACCCAATTTTTGTAGCCAACCCAAGTAGAATAACTCAGAGTAGGCGGAAGACTTCAAAATGCTGGCTTGAGGTAGAACCAAACACACCCAGGTTATGTGGTTATGCGAGATGTGTCATTTGACAGATAATACAGTACAAAGTCCATAATCCGGACTCGTCGGGCCTTCGGCAATTCCGGATTATAGATCATCGGTTTAAATTTGATTCATCCTTTAATTCATAAGTTAATGGTGAACTGCTTATGTGCCATGCCCGACTCAGATGCTTCATTTGTAGATCATAATGGAAAATGCAGTGTATATCACATTAAAATATTTATGAGGAATTACCTATCCCTTTAGATTCAAATATATATTTTTCAACTTTCTTGTTGACTGAATGTAAGGATTTTTGGAATGAGTCTGGCACACACCATACACATTCCCATTTCTAGGTTAAAATTTTGTGCACAGTAATATAGTTTAAATTTAATTCACAGCTAATCGTTTTCCCAGTAAGTTAATGTCTGATACAGAAGATTTTTCATTATTGCTATATTTTAATTCAATTTTGACATACATGGTCTAACAGAGCAGCTCTCCTTTTCAGATATTTCATGGTCCTCTAAAAACGGGTCTGGGTCATAATCCCGACAGCCGAAATCCCGACAAGCCAGAATCCCAATTGTCCAAAACCCCGACAGGGCCGAAATCCCAACAACCCAAAGTCCCGACACGGTCAAAATCCTGACAAGCCAGAATCCCGACTGTCCAAAATCCCGACAAGTTATACTAAATACAAACACTCAATTTGCTATAAAATCAATTTTTTACTAACTATTACATATTACTAATTAAAATTTAAATCAAAAATCTAAAATTATGTCATTACTTAAATAATTTTTACAAATTGAATTGACCGTTAAAATTTGAAATGAAGATTTATAAATTCTTTTATTAAGAAAAAAAAACATCACTTACACATGCAACGACATATTTACAGTGCAATGTGAGCAATAGCACGAAATATTCCATCACAGGTCGATTATCACGATCGTCCGCAACAGTCATATTCTCTTTCTCTGTCATCATCTACCTCCTACGTTTTGGTTGTTGTTCTCCGCGAGAATGCATTCAACTTGGTATTCACATGCTCCTGTTCTTTTTGAAATCCTTCTATGATGTTATAATGCCAACATGGCGTCCAATTAAGGTCTCCCATCTTCGTGCCAATCCTCGACAGCATTTGGTGCGCAGACATTATAGCTGTCTTTTCTAGATCACTAGATTCTAGATGCCTCATTTCCAATATTATTTTCTTCAGTGAAATTAATTAAATCTTGGAATATCTTTTGTTTTCTTCAGATTGCTAGTCATCAAAGCATATACTAGTTGCAGCTGTGAAAGTATGTAAGGGGCATTAGGCCTTATTGGGATTTCGCCCGTGTCGGTATTTTGACCCTGTCGGGATATTGGACAATCGGGATTTCGACCCTGTCGGGATTTTGGCTTGTCGGGATTTCGACCCTGTCAGCATTTTGGCTTGTCGGGATTCCGTCTGTCGAGTTTCTGGCTTGTCGGGATTATGTCCGGATACCTCTAAAAACATTATCCACAGTCTTTAATTTTCCAAAAAATTATTATATTTCCTGACTTTTACACAAAACTTCACTGCTATTGTGTCCAGGTTTTAAAAATACATTCTGAACAGGCATCTGCTTATCGCAGAGAAAATCCTATTCAGAAAGGTCAAAGGTCCTTAAGCATGCAGAGCTCATGTAGTTGTAATTTCCTGAACAATGACAGCAATCATTATTACTACTGGTCAACTTCTGTACTTCTTTAAAAAAAAAAAAAAATCCTTTGATTGCAGCTCTTTTAGGATCATTTATAGTACTACCCGCAGTCTGTACTAAGACAGTTTCAGCTATGGGGGTATACTGTACACAAACCTGTCTCCGTATAAGTTACACTGTACTAACCTAACTCCGTATAGGTTAGTACAGTTCTGTATCCTGCATGGATATAGAAAGTGTATAGACCACAAAAGGGGTTGAGGTGGCTTAACTTCAGGCTGGAGTAAAACTGCCCCTCGTGGTAATAACCCTTAGGAAGAATGTCATCCTTTACCTCATATGGTAATCCCCTATACTTTTACCAGAGAGACTGAGATGACAATAATAAGTTAATATTTGTTTAGAAAGCGTATGTAATGTCAAGATTAACACTTTGAAATTCTCAACAACTTCTGGATGTAAAATGGTGATCTCACAGAATGGGTTCCTGGAATTATGCTCAGAAAAATCAGTATGTCAAATAAGTAAGGGAAGAGGATACCTGAAGAAACAGATGATTTTAAATAGTTAAAGGAGGCCATTTTTTGCTTAATATATACCACATACATATTGCATACACATATATACCTAAAATGTGCATGTTTCACACACACACAGGACAGACATTTCCAATTAGCCCTTTAAATTTCTCAAATTTAAACTGCATACAGCATTCAAATATTGCATCACATAAAATGCAAAATCATAGATACCACATTAAAAAATACTGTATGCACATACCTTGGCAGTTCTTCTTCAGGGATTCTGGCATCATGAATCTCTGGATCTGGATCCCTAGAAGAGTAAATACTTTTAAATAATTGCATACACACTAATACTAATAATTCATTTTAATTCAAAGAATTTCAATGAAAGAACTGAAATATATTTTTCAAGAAAGAATGTTTCTGTTATTAGAAAGAGAAAAAAAAAAATATAGTCACAATGAATAAAAACAAGACAACAAGTTCACCTTTTCCTACGGGCAGCTTGCTTAGCTTTCGTTGTACAAAATAACACAATGTGCATTTAAAATCTTAAGCTACTTTGAAAAATGCCTGCCGTTTGCATGAAATATTATGCCATTTAACTTTACTTTCACCTATGCAAAATAGCTACAGAAATTTATGAAATGCTTCAATCAGCATGAGTGGCTTCTGCAATGCCACATTGTTCATGTTTTAAGTGGTTTAAAGAACTTCAAAATGGTCATCAAAGTTCAGCAACGAATAGAAAGTCTAATGTCTGACACTGCTCTAACTGAACTGGTTGTAAACAGTTTAATTATTACTGATAAGTATATTTTTGGAAAAAAGTGCCCTTAATTTATATAAGAGTGAAAGGTAGCTTCATCAAGATGCCAATGCAAAATCAATGCAAAACTACATATTCAATAATGTGTAAAATTACTTTTAATAAAAAGGTGCAAAATACAGATTACAGCTATACTTTAGTCCAGATAAGCACTGCATGATCATTTTTCTTCAATGCACACAAAAACATGATTAAAAGGTAACTACTATGAGCCGAAAATAGCAGCTGCAAGCCCTTAGACGCAATTTTGAAGGTACTTGTGAGAAATCTTTTAACATGTCTCAAAACAATGACAAAGGGGCAAAGCTGATTTAGTGGAAGGATAAAATTTGGGTGCAATTTCACAAAGAATATTATTATCACAAAGAATTGAATATTATTATGCAGTTTGAAATAAAACTTTGAAACATGAAATGATACTCAATGTGACATCTTGCACTGCTAAAATCTTCTCCACTTGAATCATCTTCCAAATTTTCTTTTGAAATCATTCCAGTCATTTTTATTATCTTATAAAAGATTTTCACCTTCAGAATCAAATTCCTCATTCAGAAAAATATCTCTTTGACACCATATCCAACTATAACGTGCATTCAAAATATAACATTAAAAATTGATAAAACCACCACCAAATTGTCAGGGTTGGGTGGATAATCAGCCAGTACCAAAGTTTCATTAGAACTTTTAATAGCATTTAACACTCATTAATTTTATGAAATATTTTACATTTTAATTAACTGAGGAGAAATGAAGTATACTCTTCCTTAAAGTAATTAATACATGTTCCTTCTTTTAATACTACTTACCCTGTTTTCGTTTGGAAATAACTGCAAGTTGATTCAAAATGACTGACTTAGCTTCTGAAAATTACAAACACAAAGCTACACGTAACACATGCCATGAAAGCAAAAACATCCAAGTTTTACCTACAATTATTTTACATGTCCGACTACTTATATGAACAATAAAAAGATGATAATCATAGTCTTGCTACATTTGCTCCACATTGTCATTACACCTAAAACAAATAATTACAATATTTTGTTAAGGAAACATGGCCAATATTTTAAAGACATTTTAACCCTTTGATGGTTATGAACGAGTTCAGCTCGCAATCGAATCATGCTTCTTAATGCGTGCAAACGAGTTCTGCTCAGGAGCAAGATTTCAACTGAAATTGTTAAAACGACACTACTCGATAGTGAAATTTTCCCAATGTGCGCTGCGAGCTGAGCTCGTTCGCCCTTATATTTGCATTGATTAGTTACAGGAATCCTACTCGTGAAATTTGTTAGTTTTACTGTCTACAGAGGGCAGTACGGTTCCATGAATTTCTTTTCATAATGATGGGGATTTTTTTTTTAACCCTTGTTCTTTTATGCGTATTTTGGCACATTTTTTTAGGGTGTTTGTAAGTAAAATGGCTCAAAAGCAAGTTAGATAATTATGATGGTGATTTGATTGTGACACGAAGCTCATCAACTTTGAATCTGAGAATACTTTGTTCACAGCATTTCAAGTCAGGCAACGATCGCAATGAGGAAATTTTTCGTGTTCTACATGGTGTAAAATTGATTCAAGTTCTCACGCTCCTAGCTGATTTAGTTTTACTTGTTAGTTTAGTTTATGATTTAGTTTTAAAGTATATCACACCACACACACACACACACAAAAAAAAAAAAAAAAAAAAAAAAAAAAGAGATTTTTAGGTAATTACTGTATTTAAATGCTTCATAAAGTTTTACATTAGTTGTATTTATTTAGTCCTTTTAATTTTCTTTCTATGGAATCGCCAGAGAAGAGTGACATTTTCGGAAGAATGGTGGGGGGATACAGCTGCCACTTTCAACTACTGTTTACTCGTAATACTGTGCGAATTAAGTGAACGAAAACTGCTCATTTCCCTAACCATCAATGGCTTAAAACTGGTCTATGCTACTTGGACTATGGCAAAGTACATGATGGCTAACTGCTTAAGGGAAGAGATACTTTTGTGGATAACTTTTTAAGGGAAATTGGCTCCAAGCATAATTACACAAGAGGAAATCCACAAAACTCACATGCAACTAACTCATTCACCAGGATTTGAACCAGGGTCAATGATCCTACTGCTCGGGAAGTTCTCTTTCCATTTAGCAGTGATAATATATAGAATTATACTCATTTGACATCAGGCGAATCATTTTGAATTATCCTGCATACCTCTAACATTAATATAACTATTTCAACTGGGTATTATTTTCTAACCCCTTCCAGCAAATTCTTAATAAATCTGCTTTTTCTTGTTCTACTTATCAATGAAAATTTTCATTTATAATTATATACTATCATAACAACAATATTATACTTATTAAAAATACTAGCATAAAAATGGGGAATTAAATGAGGCTACAACATAAATTTCATAATCGAAAGTGTTTCCCGAATGTTTACAAGTGTAAATAAACTGATCTTGATACAAAAGTGATGTCTTACTACTAGTAATCTTTTTATATTACATACCCTTTTCCTGCTAAAGCAGGACAGATAGGACTGGCTCTGTTTTCAGAAATGTGACCACATTTAGTACACCTCGTGCGAAACAAAGTGCCTACAAAATAAAAAATAATAATAATAATAAAGTAGTAACTACTCTGGGAAACAATTTATTATTATGCATATCTTAAAATATTTATGCAACATAAATAGATACTACCACCAGGGCTGTGGAGTCTGAGTCATGGAGACGGGTAGATTTTTGGGAAAGAAGTCGGAGTTGGAGTCACTAAAAAACACGTCGACTCCGACTCTACTTTTTGTTGAATTTGAAATGAAATTAAAACGAATTGAAAAAAAAAAAAAAATTAATGACAAACTGAATTCATATTTTTATTTATGAACTATATACATTAATAAATAGTTATTTTCCGTTTTATTGACATATTAGTAAATAAACATTAGGCAGCAGGATGGATGTGATATTTGCCATTATTGATTAAACTGATTTAGCTACTAATCTCATTGGTGAATTTAGGTAAGCAGCATTGCCATTCTCCCAAAATTGATGCCATTCTTAGGAAGTGAGCAATGCAATTGAGAAGTACATATTTGATGATATAGTGGTTGTTAGGATTGAGAACTTTTTCAGAAGATGTAAATAACCCTAATATTTCACTAACAGAAAGACTGTGGAATGATCTTGTAGAACTGGAAATCCTTCTTTTAACACCATATATAGCCACAAAAAAGATACAATCTGAAGAATTAACAGGAGACGAGAATGTTAGGAGATGTAGATACCCTAATGTTTCACTAACAGAAAGACTGTGGAATGATCTTGCAGAATTCGAAACTCTTCTGTCCATACCGCGTATAGCCACCCAAAAGCTACAATCTGAAGAATTAACAAGAGGCAAAACTGGAAGAATGCGATGTTTATTCTTTCTGAAATGGAGGGTTTATAGCAGAAGGAATCATTTCTTCAATGAAAAAAGAAACTATGGGACCGAAAAGTCTTTCTTTTTCTGCGCATGTCAACAACAAAGCTAAGGGCAGAATGGAAGCAATCCATGTCAACACTCTTAACCAGCCTTGGTTGACCCATCCAAGAAGATTTAAAGTAGAATGGAAAACACAAAGCAGGTGTTTCGAGTCCCCCATATCTGTCCGAAAAAAAAAGCCAACTTATCATCCTCACATGCAAACGTATTTCTTCAACGGCACCATACAAGCTGTTTTTTTTTGATCGTTGATTAGTGGAGACAAATGCAAACTAAAAGGCAGTTTTAATAGGGGTACAAAGGGTTTACATCCAAAATGGCACTTCTGGTTGTTTGATAGAGGATCGTGAATTGTTCATTTGAATTGCTGAAACCTACAAGCTGTTAATGCAGACTATGTGAACATTGGATGGAGGAACTAATCTTTAATCGAAAAAAATCAATTGTCAACAGAAAAGGCGTCATACTGGACACGACATGCAAAACCGCACTGTGCAGACAAAAAAGGAAAATTAATGAATTTGGGGTGGGAGGCACTGCCATACTCACCACCACCTCGTCCGATATCGCTGTATTGCTTTTCATTTATTTAATCCCTTCAACATTTCTTAGTGGCAAAATTTGAAAATTTGATGATGTCAAGAATGTCCTCTCGGATTTTTTACTCAAAACCAATCGATTTTATTGGTCCGGATTGAAAATCTCACATTAGATGGCCACGGTTGTTGATACGAGAGTTATTATTTATTGATAAAAAAACTAACTTGTTAAAATGTTCTTCGTTTGAATTTATGTAAGAAAGCGACATTACTTAACGCTCCCCTATTATTTCTAGAAAATAAGATCGCGCTGGGTTCATATATTGAGACCAAACGAATTTTGTTGGATGACAACAATTAAAAAGGCAAAGAAAGCCATCTTGAACTTTCATTAGAATGAAAAATTCTCGAAAACTGGAGTATCAAATCAGTACGTCACTGTAGATATTGATTGAAATCTCTATCATCCTTTCCACTGATGAAAATTTATCCTTAAAGTTAAAGAGTATAACAGTAAATCTTCTTCCTACTCAAGTCAGTGTGGAAAGATCTTCTCGTTCGAAGTTTATCAAATCGGATTATAGTCCTCTAACACAGAAGACTGCGAAGTTTTACTGTTTCTACAAAATTCTAATTCCAGTTTTTCCATTCATATATGCGCATCAAATAAAAAATTTTCTGTGCTAATTTTTTTTTCTGTAGCATCTATTACTTCTTTTATATTAAAAAAATAAGCTGTGCCCATGTGTATATGTTTACATATATATGAAGGAGTTGGAATCGGTCATTTTTCCTACCAACTCCACAGCCCTGACTACCACAGCCTTTCATACATGCAAGTCAAAAAAGTACATTGAAAGTAACAAGCAATTATTCTAAATTAACCCTCTCTAAAAAATTACTGGGCTGCTATGTTTAAAAATCAGAAAGCTTAAAATACCAGAATTTTGAAAAATACTATTTTAACACTCATTCAACAGACAAAATATGATAGCTCATTAGCCAAAAAT